AAGAGTTGGCCTTTGTCACCAACGAACTAAAGAAGCACGATGCGCGTGAGTAGTGCCGCTGTTGGTCGTATCGTCTTTTTTTTTTTTTTGACACTCTTTTTTCTTTCCAGCGCCAGTCGCCCCTCCACCCAAGGCTGCTCCCGGTCGTTCGTTGGCGAATCCGAGCAAAAAGGCACGCAAGGTGAAAGAGGTCGAATTTGCCGACTCTGACGAAGAGGGGGAAAAGCCAGCAGCGAAGACGTATAAAAAGAGGCGTTAGGCGGAAGGCGTTTGCGTTGTCCGTTGGAAGAAGATTTTTGCCCCGGTGTGCAAAGTAGAGAGGCAAAGTAGCGAGGCAGAGTAGAGAGGTGGCATGTTTGCCCGTCGCGCTCTCGCCCATCTCTACAATTATATAGGTAATTCGCTCGTTTGAACAGTGTTGCCGTTGTATTCCTCTACCTATATACTTGTTGGAACAAGAATTTCCATCATACCCGCCCTGCAATGAGACAATGTGCCAATATTGAAAAGTAGAGAGGCGGCTTGCCCGCCTCTCGCCCATCTCTACCCATAATTAAAATACACCAAACAATCCTCACATCCAAGTCACCTTGAAAACATATACTCTGGCGCCTACTGGCCACCCAAAAAAAAACGGCGACTAGCCCGATGCGGGGGTCGAACCCGCAACCTTGAGATTGACTTTTTCCGCACTCGTGAAGAAACACAGAAACGTTAAAAGTCTCACGCTCTACCGATTGAGCTAACCGGGCAAGAAGTTATCTGTTCTGGATGTTTGCAGCCCATAGCGAGACATAGGCATCGCGCCGGGAGCGTTGGGAGGTCGGTAGCCAATATCCCCCTTCTCCTTCCTGTTTCGCCGTCTCACGCTACCGATTGAGCCAACCGGGCAAGAAGTTATCTGTTCTGGATGTTTGCAGCCCATAGCGAGACATTGGCATCGCGCGCCTTGCGGCGCGCATCCTATGGCCAGCCACCCGCTGGCACGGGTGTCTGTCTTTTATAATTTAATACTTGCCTTGGCTCTTAAAGACATTCAACTACCAACACTCCCCAGTAAACAATCTCGTTAGAATGGCTGTGCTTTGAATACCAAGTGAGCTTCGACTGCGACAGTCAGACTTTGAGACAGTCTGTGTAAATCCTATTCTCGACAACAAACCTTCCTCTCAAATGTGCTTGTAATGCATCGAAATTTCACTCCAGATGGCGGTACAAACATAGCTAGTCCCCCAGAGTTTGGCCATTGAGACCTCATTAGCCTCGATGCGTATATTGCCCTTGCCATGAATCAATCCCCTGGTATCCAACGACAATGCTTTCGCTCGCTCCTGATGGATCCTCTGCACTTTGTTCGGTACTCGCCTTCGAGGCACAAAGGATTGGCCGCTCTCAACCTTGTCCTTGGACGTACCCTACTGCACAACATGACCACTGAAACACAACACCCTTATCAGTTGCTATGCATTGGGAATCCACTCCTGGACATGCAAACATCGGATGGATCCCTCCTCGACAAGTACAATCTAAAGGCAAACGATGCGATCAGAGCAAGTCCAGAACAGATGGGGATCTATGAGGATATCTCAAATGCCCCAGATATCCAGTTTGTTGCTGGAGGGGCTGCTCAAAATACTGCAAGAGGTGCAGCTGTGGGTCACTCTTCCCTCTGATGATCGACCCCCCTTTCCTGATGGTGACACATCGCATCCATCTTCTTCGTAGTATATATTACCACCCAAACATGTGGCCTATGTGGGATGCGTTGGTGACGATGATTTGGCCGATAAACTACGCGAGGCGAATGCTCGAGAAGGTGTCGAAAGTGCGTATTTGGTGAAAAAGGGAGAGCAGACTGGTGCTTGTGGAGTTATCACTACCGGACATAATAGGTATGACCCTTCATCAACATCATCCCCTTCAAAAGGAATCGACGTTTGATAGATCTCTCGTGACTACTTTACGTGCGGCACACATGTTTGAAAAGGCCCATCTCTCGAGCGCAGACGTTGCCGCCTGCATCAAAGGAGCCAACTACTTTTACATTACCGGATTTTTCCTTAGCCATGGTGTAGAAAGTGCGCTTGAGCTCTGCGAAATCGCGTCGGGAGACGGCAAGGTCATGCCTCCTTTCCTGCACTAAGCGTGAGACTGGATCCTGACAGCTGACAGCTCTTCATCATCAGGTCATTGCATTGAATTTGTCCGCGCCGTTTATTCCGCAACACTTCAAAGTGCAATTGGAGACCATCCTCCCTTTTGCCGATTTCGTCCTTGGCAACGAATCAGAGGCAGAGTCTTGGGGGAGCGCCGCAGGTCTTCCCGATCCAAAGGACCACGCCGCAGTAGCTCGGGCTATTTCCTTGTTACCAAAGTCGAATCTCGCAAGGCCACGCGTGGTGATTATCACTCGCGGTGCCGATTCGACAGTGGTAGTAAGCTCTGCTACTCCTGATGCACCCCAGATATATCCTATCCAAAAGTTGTCGGATGAAGAAATCGTAGATGGGAATGGAGCCGGTGATGCATTCGCTGGAGGATTCATGGGCGGTCTGGTCCTTGGCAAGTCGATTGACGAGGCCGTGGAGATTGGTCACAAGATGGGGGC